TCACACGCACGGACGACTGTGGAGTCGACGTGTGAAGGCTGTGCCTGGGTAGGCGGTAACAAACTCGGGCGTTTGTGCGTACGGTGAGGAGGAGGATGACTAATGCGTGTATATTCTCGCATGGTTTGTTTCAAGCGGTTACCGGGGGTGACGACATGTCCGGGGGCGGACATGTCCGCCAGACTCGGAGTGAGGAGCGGATGCCAGACGTCGACGCGCCCAGGTGGAGAGGCTGCGCCGCATGACAGACGTCGACGCAGCCGGTGGAGAGGCTGCGACGCATCAGACTCGACGCAGCCAGGTGGAGGGCTGCGTCCGCGCATCAGACGTCGACGCAGGCGGCAGGTGGAGAGGCTGCGCCGGCATCAGACGTCTCGACGCCAGCAGGTGGAGAGGCTGCGCGCATCAGACGTCGAGCGCAAGCCAGGTGGAGAGGCTGCCGCCGCAATCAGACGTCGACGCAAGCCAGGGAGAGGCTGCCGCCGCATCAGACGTCGGACGCAGCACAGGTGGCGAGGCTGCCCGCCGACCGGCAGGCAAGACGTCGACGCAGCCAGGTGAGAGGCTGCGGCCGCAGGAGGCGCCGCAAGGCCAGGCAGGAGCGCTGATGACCCCATGCCGCGCGAGGAGGTCTAGGAGGGAGCTGCTCGCGAAGAGCCGATGGAGCTGGCGACGTGTTGGAAGGAGCTGCCCTTTGGCGGACGAGATTCTGCAGTCGCCCTCACGGCCGGCAGGAGCAAAGCCGCCAGTGGCAGGGAAAGTCTAGTCGCCGGAAGAAGCGCGCCGTCGGCGTCGAAGACGCACTCGTGCCGGCGAGCAAGACTCCGTCGCGGGCAGTGCTTGCACCAGTAGGGTTCGGGACGCGCCTGAGCGGAGCCCACCGCCACCGCTGTCCCGGCAGAGGGAAGTCGCGGCCTCGCCCGCAGTGGCGGGCGGCGGCGGCAGGAAGTGGCGGAGAGAGGCGCGCTGCAGTAGGAGGGTCCACACCCCCCCGCGCCCGGCGAGAAAGCGCCGGCCGCGACGTGCAGAGGCGCTCCCCCACCAGGAAGCAGGATCCCTGGGGGGCGGGCCACCTGTACGCCCGTCTTTCGGGGGTCGTCGCGAAAGCCGTGACGCTCCCTTAGGAACGCGGGCCTGGTACTGGTGTGTGGCGATTGCGGCGTGCCGACCTGCGGCACGCTAGCGACCACGCACGCAGAGTAGCCATCGGTGCGGAGAGCATTGGTCCCTCCGTGCCCGATCCGGGCGTGTGAGCAGGGCCTAGCCAGGCGCGCGTGCCAGTAACGCTTGTCACACCACCTGGCGGGCAGCAAACACCGACCCTGGTCCGTCTACCGGAGGGGCGTCGACGGGGGTGGCCGGAGCAACTCGGCCCGTACCCCCGAGTACCGGGGATGCGCCTTAAAGCTACCTCGCGGCGCAGAAGCGGCGCGTACGGCAGAGAGCGCCCAGAAGGTGGCCGTCGGGCGTCGACCACCAGCCGCGCCGAGCCATCCTGCGCCGCGCGTAGGGATGGCCGAGCCTACCGCGCAGGTAGCCGCCGCTGGCATGCAGGGCGCCCAGGCCTGTGGCCTGCAGTGGCCCCGGCTGCCGCAAGCGGGTCCGCCCGACCGAGGCGCCACAAAGGCAAAGGCGCTGCACGCTGCCGGTGGCAGTGCTGGCTGCAGGGGCGCACGTGACGTCGACTGCGCCGCAGGCGCGCGCGACGTCAGCTGCGGCGAAGCGCGCGCGTCGACCGGACGGAGCGGCACGGACGTCGGCTGCCCACAGCCGCGCGCCGTCGACTGCGACGGAGCGCACGGCGCTGGCCTGCAGCCAAAACACGCGGCCGTCGACTTCGGACGGAGCGCTGCGACGTCACAGCAGCAACGACGAAGCGCGCGGCGTCGCATGGGGCGAGCGTGCGGCGAGACGCGAGGCAGCGTCGGCGAGACGATCGTCGACTGGCTGCCGACACCGACCCCAACCAGCCTGCGGTGGCGTCGGCGCTCCGCGGAGTCTTCTGCGTCGACGTCGAGCCAGCCATGCAGCTGATAGTCGCTCGAGCGATGTAAGCCTGGAGGGACATGCAGACGGCGAAACGGTGCGTGTTCCGGCGTTTCTGCACTCCTGTGGGCAGGGAAGCGCCGGAGAGCGTAGCGGCACTGGCATTGCCGCGGAGTTCAGCGGCGGGCAGACGGCCTGCCGGCCACGGAGACTCGTTGACCATATCGGCTGGTGGAGCACCTGAGCGCAGCGTCCGCTGGGCCCTCAAATACGTCCGCTGGGCCCAGCCCACGGCGCAGGTGCGTCGGAATTCCGCGGCCGCTGGGGGAACTCAAGGAGGAGGGCGGAAGCGATGCTGACATCCCTCTGGACCCCAGGGACAAGTCACGCCAGAAGTAGGTGGCAGTTAGCATAGCGCGCCGCGTGGCACCGCTCCGGAAGCCTTTGGATGGACCTGCGGTCGATCTGTGAAGGGGGAGGAGTTAGCGGTGCCCCACCTGGGCTCTCCGGGTTCCAGAGGCGCGTGGGGGTGTAGCCCCCGGGTACGGAGGAGATGGGGAGATGGTTTAATGTTGTATTGCTCTAATTGTTTTGTCTTCGTGTCTGTTTTGTCGGGCGTTTGCTACCGATCAGAACATCACAAGGGGCTGCCATGCCGGATGCAGTGGGTGCCGCGCTCTGACGGCGAGAAAACGGCGAAACCAGTAGGCCTGCAGGTGACGGCGGAATTCGCGTTGTCTCGTGGTAGTTTCGCCGGGCCTGGAGCAGAAGCGGATAGGATCGGAGAGAGAGCAGTTGGAGCAGCAGAGGAGAGAAATGACAGAGAGTTGGGGACGGTAGAAGAGAGAGAGAGAGTAAGCCCACTACCGCGGTTCTGCTCGAGCGCGCTCGCTTTCGGTGAGTAAGCGCCCGTTTTGTCCTGCTCGTTGTTAGGGTGCGTGAATAATACCAGTACTAGGCGCTACAGTCAAACGTGTCGCAGTCTGCCACGACAACGCGAGGAGTTAGTCTATTTCGTGCGCCGCTGCACGAGAGGCCAGCCGCCGATACTTTACTTACTGTACCTCTTTTCGCCGGCTGCGTTTCATAGTCGCTATACTGTGTGTCTAAACTCCTGTGTTCTACCGTAAGTATACACCTGGTTACATCGTAAACGCCGAGGGCTTAGTGGGCAGGGGGTGGACGTTTGCTCCTGCGCGTGTGCATACGTGTCTTACTCGTCCTGCACTGTTGACTAAACTACGACGCATTCGGTACCTGAGCACGACAGACAGTTATTGCGAGGCGCAGTAGCTTCTAAACGCGCTCGGCTGGCTAGCGAGGTGTCCGTGGAAGAGACGTCAACGCGCAATACAAACGCTCCGGAGCACAACTGGTGAGTAATATACATAAGCGTGTGTGCTAGCCATTGTGGTCGACCGGTGGCGCCATCGGGTGTCGGCCGGAAGCACGAAACGCTACACCAAGTATTAATATTCTTTTCCCAAGAGGGTCCCCCCTTAGTCTCGACAGGGGGAGTATAGGCCCCTCAAAATCTTAGGCCCATGCCAACTGGCTACTGCCGCCTCTGTTCTGGCTGTATATATACTATCTACTTACTATAGACGGCTGTCTATACTAGACTCCACTCTAACTCAGTAGATAATTCAGTAATATTAGTCCTTAAACAAGTACAGTCATGCCTGCAGACGTTTTTTATGGCCTTAAATTTTTTTATGTCATCACCTAATTATATAACTATTATAACCTAATTATAGGACAACACATTAATTTAGAAATACACATCAAAATTGGAAAAATAAGAGTTTTTTTTTGCCTCTCGCCGACTAATCATCTCAATTGTTGCGGGTGGGCCACGTGAGGCGTCCTGCGCGGATACACCCACCACTGAATTATTCTGGCGTGGCCATTCACGATACCTGTGGACTATGCTGAACATTTTCCAATGCGTGCCAGAAGGTTTCCTTTCCAGCTGATCTAGCTCAATTTTGGGGTATCGGTTTTTAGCTCTGGCGCATGCGCCCCACCACTAAAAAATTCTGGCAGTGTCCATTCTTGATACCTGGGACCATGCCGATCATTTTTGAATGGGTGCTAGAAGCGTTTCCTTTCCAGCTAATCTAGCTCAATTTTGGGGGTGGCGCAGTTGGCGGGCGTCTGGCGAATACACCACACTTGAATTATTCTGGCAGTGGCCATTCACGATACCTGGGACTATGCTGAACATTTTCCAATAAGCGTGCCAGACGGTTTCTTTCCAGCTAATCTAGCTCCTCAATTTTGGGTATCGGTTTTTTAGCTCTGGCGCATGCGCACCACACACTAAAAAATTCTGGCAGTGTCCATTCCTGACACGCTGGGACCATGCCGAACATTTTCCAATAGGTTCATCTGGGTTTCCTTTCCAGCTAATCTAGCTCAATTTGGGGTGCCCTTTCAAATGACCCACTGACCACGACCACCAGCGGCTACCTGCCAGACTTACATTTCCTTACATGGTATGCTACACGAGATCATTGCTATATGCATGAAATGTTTCCTTTCCAGCTAGGCTGACCCCCCTGGGCTCCGGTCTACTAGG